CATTACCTGTTTTCTTTTGTGTAAATCTATTGACTATTCGAACAAAAGTATTATACATTTTAATACATTTAAGAAAATGACCTGAAACATCAGAAAGATCATCTATGACAAATCAAAATTATAAAAAAGTGGACAATCAAGTTTTGTTATGACAAGCAACTCGGACACTACAATCATTTATAATGATTCCTGTATACTACGTAATTATAATTTATGGAAACAAGATTCCGTTGATAATAGTAGATCTACTGAAAGTCTTAGTGAGCTATGATTTGCGTTTCGAGTCCATTTGTTCTGTTTTGTGCTGTTATGTTATTGTCAAGAATCTAACACATTCATATTACGACCACCATACAAATTGCAAATGCTATCGAATAAACCGTCGACCGCAACTCTGAGACTAGACAAGTGTGTTACTGCATGAAGATAACTGACGTTTCTATTATTTGCAGTTCTCGATTTCCTTCACATTTACATGAACAGTGAATAATAAAAAGTATGGAACCAAAACTATTTATTTTTTGAAAAAACTAATTAATGAATGAAGTACTATAAAAATGTGTTTTATTAAGAATAACATTTTTGGAAATTTTCTTTTGTTTTTGAGTTCTACACATTTTTTTTTTCTTTTAAATGGCAACCCACTATAAAATCATTTTCTTCATGAAGATTATAATTTAAGGATACTTTGTATTTAATTTTTTTAATTTTTTTTTCTCACTTAAATAACAATTTTGACAAAAAATCCCATACCTAACTCAAAAACAACACAAAATTTCGTTCTCAATTCTCAAAATACAATCAATTTTCTATATTACTTTAATTTGTATTAATTATTATTTTCTGAAGGCAAATGATTAAAAAAAACCGCTTGGTTCCATACTTTATATTCACCCTGTATGTATTTTCTATTAAAATGATTAAAATTTTTACGAGTACCTACGTACTCGTATGTACGCGAACTTACCCCGTATTGCGCTCAACTTTTATATGCAGTACGTTTTGCACGTGATTCGCTACTTCTTACTTGTCTGCTTTTAATGCAAATATGCATAACAAATGGAATAATTGAAGCCAAGCGCTATCATATATTCTACTTGGCGCAGATTTATATCTACTGAATTATTTATGAAAAACGTTTGAATGCTCTGGACATTTCAGAATTGTTATCTGTGTGTGAAATGGACAGATCTCATGAATTTTCGATTATTCGAACACGAGCCACCGTTCCAGTTTTCTGTGATCATTTGAACATCATAAATGTTAAATCACCTGTTACACTTAGAAACAGAATATTCTTTTCTAAAGTTTGTTTCATTCCTTTCATTCAATTCAAACGGAGGTAAAATTTAACATACAAACAAACAGAATGACAGACGAAAAACTTGATTCAAACGAATCAAAATAAATATTTCAAAACTTTATATTATCCACTATATTCTTTGACAAGCAGTAGTTATTTTTTTTTCAATGAAACTGCATATATTTTATGCTTTCTTATAGAGTAATATTTTCGATATCATTACGTTAAAGGGAAAATATATTTCATCAAGAAAAAAATGAAGAATTCAAGAACCAAAAACTGTTGAAACGGTAAATGCCATTTAGACATGTCCAGAATTGTATAGAAACGTCCATCGTTGATGCAGTTACTTAATAATTTGAGGAGATTTGAGACAAATTTAATGAACATCGTCTGGTACAATATATACAGGGTATTTCACGAGTGATAATGAGCCTGACTACATTTGAACTGCAGCCAGCAATACATTTGCATAGGCTTCATGGATTTTGATAATGAATTTTAAAATTAATAAAACATAGTTATCGCGTGACTGACACAAAGAAATTGACAAGACAGAAAACACAATTTTTAAGGTTATTGTTTATCTACCATTGGAAAACACTTTCAAACCTTTTTGGAGCTTTTCTATACAGGAAACATTGTCTTTACAAAAGAGGCATTTTTCCCAAATTCGCCATAAATGAGAATCAGATTGGTTGCTCATCGTTCGAATGCATTTTGAAATTTTGCTAATGTCAGTTGTGACATGGTTGTGACAAATAAAATTATCGAAGCAAAGCTATCGTGGATTCATAATTCGGTTTTTCAAAAAATGCGATATCTAAAATATCCACGTTAACTTTGCAAATGTATTGTGGGTTGTATTTTCAATTCCGTCAGGCTCATTATCACTCGTGAAATACCCTGTATACAGGAGGGTGTTCGCGCATTACGAGTAAATATTCTAACCACTAAAATACACTGACCGGCATAATTCGCGCATGACTTAAATTTTAAGATTTAAAATGGCTAAATGGTTTTGAAATAGTACTAAAATTGATGATATAGGATAGTAGCATTATCAAGTAATTCAGTTGACTATGGATTTTTCAAAAACAATTGGTGTAGATTCATTGTTTACTGAATAAATGTTAAATTATCAAAATCACCGCTAATTTTCGAGAGTCAACAATTAAAAACTGAGCTTCTTTCCAGGCTCGAGGAGGCAATATTAGGTATTAATGGTTGCCTCCGAATGTAACAAAGCCTATATAAGCTAAAAAACTGATCCACACGGAATTCGCTTTTTTGTTTCTTTTGACATTCATTAAATTGTAGTTTAATTGTTGAAGTTTAACTCGTAATTTTAGTTTAACTTAACGTTAATTAGTTAATTAACTAGCTATATCGGGCAAATCCTCCCGGATTTGCAAATGTTTTGTGGAAGTAGTCGTTGGGACAGCCCCTCGCTCCTCGTGTAGAACTCGTACTATCTAATTTGAAAAATGTGGGGGCTTCGCTCCTCAAGTAGATTTRCTTCGCAAATRTCGACATTGTYGGGGACTTCGCCCCCGAGTAGAACTCACAATACCTGATCCGCAAATGTTCGACACTGGTTTTGCATCGTTTTCACCGTACATTTCATGCATTATTTCCGTCATCTCAAATTTGACTTCCTTTTTCGGCCTCCGTCTAAAATTAGTGATTTTCCAATCATCCAAATCGTCTTGAAAACACCCATTTGCGTGTCTTGGCAAGAAAATAAAAACAGGGTTTTTAAATGAAAGTTTTTGTATTGGTAGCATTGAGTGACACTGAAATGTCAAGTCTGTTCTATAGTTCTCTTTCTGTTACAAATTCTGTCCACTGCCACTTTTCATCCAAGATTCAAGCCTAAAACAGCTTTCCACACAGCCATCAAATCACCTTTTGGAAGTCTGCAAAAACGATTTAAACATAACCTCAAACCATGATGAATGACTAACCGGTGAAAACTGATTCCTTCGGGCCCAAATCTCGTCGTATTTCTACACCACTGCACACGACATTTTGACCGAAAAGTCTAATTAGAATAAATCGAATTTTAAGAAAATTTTCAGAAGCCCATTTCTTCAACAAATCGTATTCTTTCCAATAACAATTGGTCCAATAAATTTTGAATTGCAGCTTCTGCCACATTTTGAATATGCTCTGGCGTATCTTGTGTATCCATTTTCAACTAATGCAATTGCATTTTCTTCTCAAAAGTCTTAATTACTTTACAAATGTCATAAAATTATTTTAAGTTTAAATCATTACACCGTGGAGTGAGTGCTACCAATAGAAGAAAAATTAATTCCCTAGCCGGAGAAAATTTAACAATAAATTTGTTTAAATTGAAAAATGTTGTCGGCCGAAAAAGTTTTGTGTATCACACGGCCAGAAACTGTTTTCCAAGTGCTTGCAATTCAATTTTAAGCAGGCTGATCAATGCCTACATTCGGACCTCTGACCATTCGTCCTTTTGAGCATTCGCACCTCTGGTGTGTTGCACCAACTCGAACTCGCACTTTACAAAAATACAACACCGGTCTTTGCACAAATACTAACGTCACCCTTTTGCCTTTTTCAAATCACACACAACGTTTATCACCGTATTACCGAGGTTTTCGTTTGATTTTCTTAAAGAGTGTGAACCATCACATTGATGCGAAGTGACAGAAGTGTCAAATTGATTGAAATTCAAGGCACTCTTGGTGCATTTTTTTTGTTTAATTTTCATTTTTATGGATTTTTAGCCGAAATAATATGAATTAACGAAAATCACCCGTCCGTTGCAGTAAAGGATGAATTGAATTTTCATTTTTCATCATCATTTATTGTCTAAAGTTTGATATATTTCGCTATAGTGTCTAATAAAAATTGCACCGTTTCCCTTTCCCCGCATTGTATGAGAGAGATGGTTAATTGAACGTTTTACATGGGTGTGATGCGATGGAGCTATCACGCTTTAGTAAGATATAATTAATTTTTGATGCATTTATTTTTTAAGCGTTATTTCATTAAAAAATTAATTTTAAAATTGATGCGACAATTTTGCCGGTGAGTGTAATTCGTTATGAGAAGGCAATTTGAAGACTAAACAAATTCCGTATCCAATTTTTTTTTTCTATTAAACCTTTAGCAACAATGTTTCAAGGGTTAGTTTCAATTAGGACTAAAAAAGCGATGAGAAGGTTTTAACCTCCTCATTCGTGGAAAACTATCTGCATTTCAATAAAATGTTGAAAATTGTTTAATTTTATCAGAGTTTTAAAGTAACTGACCGAGAGTTAATAGTCTATCGATAAGTTGAAATGCTAGTTAACTAACGGATATTAAATTAATAATTTAGTTTAGAACCCAAACAAGATCTATCTATGGAAATCTGCTGTTTGCCGCAGGGTCAAACGCAAAACGCGTTTAAAATATTCTCCCCATCTAGTAACGGGATCAAACCGTTATAGAGAACGTGTTGGAGCTTAGTTGTTTATACAAGTATTAGATGTACACACATACACACACGAACCCTAAACTGTTAGCTTCGGGCGAGAATAACCGCAGCTTTGTGAGACTTCACTTTTTTACCGTTTTGTCTGTTAAGACGCTTGATGGAGTACTTTTATTACTCAACATCATTCCCAACAATAGTTGCTTTTAGTCACTATAAGCAGTAACATTGTGTTTTTCTTCTCAGGCGAAACTGGAAACCAAAGCTCTGAAAGCCAAACGACCGGGCTTCACGGATGATCGCTACAACGAAACGTCTTACTACATCGAAAATGGTAAGTACGAATTAGAGGCTGATTTCAGAGCGTGATTCGCGTTAGTGATGCTACCACCTACTTCACATCCGGAACAGCTTCGGGACGAAAAGTTAAATTTGATATAATACTTTTACAGGGTGTCCCACGTAAGTCTTTCGGATCTGATATTTCTGTTATTTGACAACGGATTTGTATGAAATTTAAAATGTAGACAACTTAGACCGTGGATTTTCAATTGATATTAATAAAATTACGTCAAGATAAAAAACATAATTTTAACACATATTTTCTTAATTTAAAATTAAGCGAAACTATTATTATATTGTTAAGCACTAAAAATAGACCTTTACACAAAAAGTTAACCACTCGTCTGAATCAGTTGAAATACGTCGACTATGTTGTTAAAATTGTGACCTAATTTTTTAAAGAATTTTATCAAAGTTACTTTAAAACAATAGTTTAAAACATATCCAAGTACAGAGTGGATATAAATGATTTTCATCTAGCTAGCTTTGGAATTTTTGCATGCATGTAACTTTATTTGTGCCGCTCTACTTTTTTTGAAAGCTCTAGTTCTGTCATTGGTGTCACTTATTAATTAATAATAAATTGTTGTTAATTAAACTTTTTTTGTTGCAACGAATTTCCAATAATAATTGATAAGATTCGGTAATATGGCTCCCTTTTTTTATAGACCCTCCTCCTGTTTTTCCATGCTTCATTTATCACAACTTTATTCGTTTTTCTTGTAAGCGGTTATTACAGATATTAGATTCGGAAGTCTTAGATGGGACAGCCTGATGTATATCAACGTGTTTTAAAATGATTTTCATCGAGTCGTCTATGGATTTTTTAATGAAAATAAAAATACCGCTTTAAAAAATATTTCATCTAATTATCCTCAAATGTGTGTTTTCGGTGTATGTACGTAAAAATAGTAGTCAAAATTACTGGAATCACAATAATAGAAAGTCAATCGACATTTAAACTATTATTTGACTTTTTGAAACAGAAAAATCAATCACAATGGGTAAATTGCAAAATTTAAAGAATAATTTTTTCTAACAATGACGACCAAAATATACCTACAGGGTGTTTGCGAAGTTGAAGCATTCCTTGATGGTATACATTATTCTTAAGAGTTTTAGCCCAAAACATCTTAGTAAAATGTTGAAGGTAACGAAGATAAATTAATTTGATTTTTTTGAATTTATTGAAGCCGGTCCTGCTTAAATTTAAGTTGATATTTTTGAACCATTAGAATTGACAAAAAAATCAAATGGCTATTGACATTGATCAAAAAACTCTCATCTAATTACAGTTCTTACAGACATGTTAATATTGTATGAGCAGTGCTTAACAGAATGCTGCTGCGGCATTCAGAAACTATGCAGAGCGAAATCTGGAGTACAAAAATTGAGATGCGGTTTACCCCTAGAATTTTTGCAAATCGTTTAATTTAATCCGTTAACCTTAACGACGTCATTTAATTATCGTGTGTACGACTTTCAAGCGCGAAAGACGTAACCCGTCAATTCAAAGACGTTTACGTAAACGTCTTAATTTTTTGATTTCTTAGCAACGGCCATTTGTCGTAATACGTTAAACTTTTTTACGATTTACAAAAACTCTCTATTGCTTATAATGTACTTCCAGAAATGAGAAAAGGTACTTAAAATGTTCGAATTATTCATACTGGTGTAACTCAACTTTCACTACTTACTAAAAAGTACTTGTTAAAAAATAACAATAAAAGTAACATTATCTAAAATCTCGTTTCCATAGCACTGAGATGGATTTTTTAGAAGCACGCATCTCAAAAAGGCAGATAGACAGGACTAGACTCAAATTTTAAAAACTAGAAAAGTTATCTGTCAATAAAAATATTTAACTAAGGCGATTTAGGCTAAAACTCTTACGAATAACGCATAGTATCGTACCTGGTGTTAAAAGGAATGCCTCAACTTCGAGAACACTCTGTATTGTACGCAGCTGTACAAGTAAATATTTTTTTGTTTTAAATATACAGTCTAAAGTCTAAAGAAATCAAAATAAATCAACTTATCTTCACCGAATGCTTTTGGTTTCTAAGATATAGAGTATTTTAGGAAAATTGGAAAATTGGTTAAAAAACTCAATATAAATTTTTTTAGAATACTTTATTCCAAAGCTCAAATTACTATTAATCGATGACGTTTGACGTAATGAAATTCGGTGGTATCGTCGTCAAAAAAATATGTTGCAAAATTTTTATTTCTTTATTATGATTTTTTAACTACTTTTTAATTTTAACTTATTTTTTTAAACAATGTGTCAGATTTTGAAGAGCTAATTTTAGCGCTCATATTTGTTTACAACTTTAGTTGGTTAAATTTAAAGCTACGCACCAAATTTAATTTATTAAAACCTTCACTCAAAAACTAATATCTGTTTATTTAAAAACAAAACTCAAAAGTGCTTACTATTTTGCATGTCTTTGATTAATCCATTTGTCCACTTGTTAAGATGACAGATAATAATAAAAACTCATTAGTGTGCGATAGAGTAGGTATCTACGACATACGTTTGCGTACTACGAGGTGTTTTTTCATATGAATTCATGATGTAAACATTCGAATAAGGCAAAAAAATGAAAACTTTTTTGTTAACAAAAACATACAGAGTTTATTCAAATACTCGCAATGAAAGTGAGTTATAAATGTAACTAAATATGTTTAATATATATCAAAAACAATCTTCATTATTATAGACCGAGATCAGGTATCATCAGTATAACGTCAGAAACAAAAATAAGTTAAATGTAGATTTTACTAGAATAAATAAAATTAGAAATTCTCAAAATTACTACGGACCTATTTTTTTTAATAAATTATCACCTGAAGTAATTGCTTTACCCCCTAAACATTTTTCGACAAAAATTAAAGCTTTTCTTTTGCAAAAATCCTTTTACAGCCTGGAAGAGTTTATGCTCAGTGAATGTTTGTTGTAGTTTTGTTAAATTGTAGTGTAGTGACAAAAGTAAACAATATCGTAATTGTAACACATGAATAAATTTATTATTATTATGCCAATATTATTTTATATTTGATTATTATACTGCACAAACTTTTTTTAGTAGTGGAATAATGCGTGATATTTTTGTCGTCATTGAGAACACCGTCGCGGCGGGCGTGGTGCTGCGCCGCGCCGTGACACAGGAACGATTTTAATGTTTTCGCAACATACAGGCTGATCCAGGGGTGTGTATCGGTCTATAACTTGTTTGCTATTTGAGGAACAGAGTTTCAAAATGCAGTTTGTCCATTTTTTTATGAGTTGAGATAAAGGTTTTTAAATTTTTTTTTGTAAATTGCCTAAGTACTCTATAAATTGTTTGCTATTATGCATTGACTTGCCATTTTTAATATTTTTTTTTACTTAAAGTGCACCACCTGAAAATATTTTTATTATACATATAAAGGTGAACAAAAACACGATTAAACTCGTCACACCAAACACGATGCGTTTCAACCACAAAGTGGTCATCCTCAGTTGAGAATAAAGTAAATACATATAAAGGTTTTGTACATATACAGAGTGATGAACCAAAGTTATATTTTTTTTAAATAGAGCACTTATACAGGATGTGCCAGAATTCGCGCCTCAGAGAAAAATTTCAAGTAAGATAAGATATCAGGAACAAGGAAAAAATGTTTAAAAAATTCTATCTGTCAAAAAAATTTGCCATTGAATTTTTGACATTTGACATTTATTTATGTCTATTTAATGATACTGATGATCTGGTATATGTATTTTTTTACAATTATTTTGTAAACTTACAAAAATTTTGGCAATAAAAGCTACAAATAACATTGAACAAAGTAAGATACAGCTTCCTTATTTCCTCTTCTAATAGCCTGTAGCAAAAATACTTGGAAAATTATTTTTATAGCAGAAGTAAAAAGAGTCCAAAGTGCAAAATTTAATCTCTCATGAATTCGAAATTTTTATAGACAATTTTTTTTTTAATTTTCCCATGTTCATGGTATCTTACCTTATATGACATTTTTCTCTGGGGCGCGAGTTCTGGAGCAGCCTCTATACAGGGTGAATTTAAAGTATGTACAACTATTTTAACAGGTGTTAGTAGAGTAGACGTTTGCAAATAAGGAACAAATATAAAATTCGTCACTATATGTTCAATAGTTTTTAGTGCTGTAGGGTTTTTATTTTGATGCTGTATATTCCACTCTGTGGTTAAATGTAGACAAGTCAAATTTTTGGTTAGTTTAAATATTTAATAAATTATTAAGTTGAATTCTAATAACATACCAGTTTTAACCCGTTTAAGTTAACTTTAAGTTTACCTACACATATTACGGTCATAATTAAATATCACTATTATATAAAACGTGTGTCTGCGGAAGATAAAATGTTCCAAGGACAAATGAGAAATGTAAAAATAATTTTTTGTAAATTATGACAGGAAACTGTGGTGAACGAGTGAGCAACAGAATTTTGTTTCAGAATTGGCCCTGGCAGATACACATATAAGTCATGTGTAATTTTAATCCTTTAAAATAGTTCATTTCAACTATCACTTTTTGACACACGTTGAAAACATGAGGCTCTTCTTTGGATGATTAGTTTTGGCCTCCGAGATCATGCGATATCACTTCCTGTGACTTTTTTATGGTCACATTTGAAAAACACAATTTTCCAAACTCCTGTTGCTGATCTAGGTGATCTACAACAACGAATTATTAACACAATTGAAGAAATAAATTACGAGATCTAAACTAAATTTAAAATACTGTGAAAAATGGATTGCTTAAAAGTAGTCTCAACGGTTGGTTACTAACTGCGAGTAGTTCAATTACTCAAAATTAATAGAAGACATACGTGAAAGCTTCCAAGGCCCTCCCTGGGTCAAAATTCCGTTGCTCACATGATATGAATAAACACCAACATCTCATATTAGAATGTTTTAGAAGGTTTCATAGAATAATTCAATTTGCTTAGATTAATATTTTATTTTTTATAAAATAGCTTTTTTACATTTAACTAATATACGAACTGCCATGCGACATACGTTCTCAACTAATACGCCTACTTGATAGAAAGACTTTTTAATCGCACTGTATTAATGCAACAAAATTGTTGACATGTTTCTTTTTTACGTGGAACAACAATAACACTGATTTTCAAGCACATTTAGGTACTAAAAGCAAGTGGATACTCTATGATTCTATAGTTTATGGTGTAAACGAAATTCGTGAGTCGAACGAGCAACATAGTGAATCGTAAATATTCAATGAAACCGCACTGAAAACACATCTTGCTATGTAACGAAGTTCAGGAATTCATATCGTTACTAAAAAAAGCTCCGTTGAAACTTGAAACTTTGTTTTTATCGTGGCCAACTTGTCTGAAGCGTGGAAAACGGCCAGAAATCCAAATTGTTTGAAATCTAAGCTGCGAATTTTCGTCACGTACGATTCTCTTTTCGATTGAAAAACAATATTATTTCCACGTTGTTGGGCGAAGAGCAACATTTTTCAACTACAATTTTTGTTACCATATTCCAATTTGTAACTGTTATAGGTATAGGGTTATTCATAAATATGTGCAATATTTGAACCTCAAAAATGACCTAGAAAATGATAAATAAATAAATATATCATAATAAATAAAAAATATCACGAGTGTAGGTTTGTAATTATAATATTTTTCCGGTAAACGTGGTACAATTTAATATAATATACAGCATGATTTATTAGTGCAGCATCGGAGGATCCTGACTTTATAGTAGAAAATGCAAATGTAATTTTTTGCTTTATTATACAAGGTGTTTCACATAATTTTACGAGACCTGGGCCTGTAAAATGAAATCAACAATGCATACTTAATTCATTACGAACTCGATTAAAAATATTGAAACTTTTGTACCACCCTCAATTAAAAGCAATATTGTAAAATTGTAAAAATGTACAGGGTGTTCCGTTTTTATTGTTGCAAAATTAAATAGATGATAGAATATTTAATTTTAAGACAGTTTCCTATAAACATGTTTTGAAAAATGAGGAAGCTACGCCTACTAAAAAGAGTTTTTAAAGGGTTTTTCCCAGTATTTCAGAAAAGATAAAATTTTAAAATTTGGCACAGGTAATAACCTTTATACACCTAAACGAATTCCAAGATGAAATGTCGAAATTTTCAATCAGGGTCGTCCTAACCGGTAAAACGAATTTGATTTTTAATTTTTTACTGTTTATGGTCTGTAACATAAATTTTAAAACTGATTTTCCTCCAAATCGGTAAGTTGTATGGGAAAAACGTTGAAGACTTTTTTTTTTGAAAACCTATGAAATTTAGAATTTTATTGCTGAAAGCGGCAAGAAACTACAGCCAAAATAGTTAGAGCACTTTTTACCCTATACCCACCCAGTTTAGGAAGCCCCTGATTAAAAATTACAACATTTTATCTTTGAATTCGTGTAGGTGTATAAAAGATTATCATCTGTACCAAATTTTGTAATTGTATCTAAAATAATTTGGGAAATATTGGAAAAAACCTACCAAAAGACACATCCCTTTGAGAGGGTGTAGCTCCTTTGCGTAGCATCTTTCGATACATGTTTATAAGAAACTTTTGCCTTAAAATTGAATATTTTATCTCCTGTTTAAACTTGTAACAATAAAAAAGGAACACTCTACATATATTTGGTACTTATTGATAATTTTTTTTATTTTCTGATAGGGCTGCGGAAAGTATATCCTTACTATTTCACGTTCACAACATTCACTAAAGGGAGGTGGGTCGGCGAGAGAATCTTGGACGTATTTGCTAGAGAATTTCGAGCACATCCTGCCGAAGAATATGAAAGGTGCATCCAAGCAGGAACTCTAACTGTAAATTATGACAAAGTCCCTATAGACTACAAGCTAAAACATAACGATCTTCTGGCCAACGTAGTTCACAGGTATGTATGGCATTACGGTATCTAATTGTTATGGAACTTGAATGCTTTATCTGTTTAATTGATAGAATATTCGTTTACTTGTACCTACAATATTGCGCTGATTCCACTAGTGTAAATCAGTTATTTTCCACAAACCACCTGAGTTTATTGTTGCTTTAAATTGCTGATATGGAATTATCTCCAATCAATGATTTTAATTCACAGTCCCGGATCGTTAATTTTTGACTACGTTATGTTTGTGGAATTATGAATTCGATTGTTATATGCAATCAGCAATTAGCTTTATATCAGGCTGATGATGGCACATTTAATACCTGCAATTGCTGGGATAATTTCCGTATTTGTGGACTATTTAACTTTCTACGATATTTACTTGATGATGACAGTTATGTTTGCGTCCTATTGTTTATTTCGTTGTTTTTTTTTTTAAATAATATTACTCATTTACCTGTGCATGCATGCTTCCAAAATAACTGATTTAATTAGCGGAAAACTGCTCCCTGTTTATACTAACCTGGCAAGCTGAATAACCAACTTTTATAACATTGCAGAGAACCAACGATTTTAGTTTGTTTGATTTGTCTGTTTTTGTGTTTGAAAAAGCTTGCGTACTATGAGACGTACTGAGCCTATAATGTTGCAGACATGAAGTGCCCGTCACTAGCCAACCCATCACCATTGTACACATGGATGAGGACATTGTGGTGGTCAACAAACCTGCCTCTATCCCTGTAAGTGGCCAATAGACTGCCATTGTTACTGCTGCTATTACTACTGCCTTCTATCTAGTCCTATAATAAAGCATGTTTGTCTACAAGTTCTTATATTTTTGCATTCGCTTCATTGATTTAATCATTGAACTGCTTGAGGGGTTTAAATCCAACTAGTTTAATTCATTTTACAGAGAACCTGTTGATGAATCCTTTATCGAGTACAGAACTATTGATTTCTCTCTTCCGACATAGGTTGTTTTTGCATGATCCGATCTAGCCTCAAATTAAAGTAAGAACGTTGGCATTTAAAGTAGAACCTTAGCACAGTTTTCTAACCGTGGTGCAAATAATTAAAAAAATATATATTGTGCTAATAAGTTTTTTACCTCTACTAAATCTCTAAATTATAACAATGCGACGTCAGTTTTGGCTGCTTAATAATTAATAGATGTAAATGATGTACTGATCAAAAGAAATAATTTCCAACGAGACATTGTTATCTCCTTATCTCTTTAAAATACTTGAAACTTCTATGATTTATGACAGCTAGTCTCTAAAAGTTTCTTTTTTGACCACCTGTTTTCCAACAACTTTGAACTAATACTCTTTCTACTTGTGACATAAATTAACTTAGTTCACCATAAAGCAGCTTTATAAACCATTAAGAAAACATCAGCTATTTTCCCCTTTTAAAACCTGTTTGGACAGAAAACATGACTACAGAACCCAAAATGCTTTACAAATACATATTCTGAATATCTTTGTTAGTAAATTGTAGGAGTACAAGCCGCGACTGGCATAATATACGTAGGTGCATACGTAAAATTCTCTTTTCCAAAAAAAGATATAAACATACATTTTAAGTCAGATATCAATTTTAACATGTTTTCATTGTGTAAATAATAATTTTCACAGATCTTACCTTTTCATCTTAGTGTAATGAAACATCTGTTTATACCATAATAAAGACATTCTGGTGAAAATAGGTATACCTAGTAACTAAATTGATGTAAACAAGATTGAGTTATCTTATGTCTACTATACCAAAAGTTACTTTAGAGTTTTTTTGATGATTTTATACGTTCCATAAATCTCTGATTTTTTATATGTAATTAGATTTTTTATATGTAATTATTGCAATCCTTATGCATTTATACAATTATAATGGTTGTTTACATTATACGTGCGGTAGGTGTAATTTTACAGCGTAAATTTTAATATTGAAGCTCGAAGCGAAGCTAAGACCTTTAATAAAACTGAATACTGTAAAATACCTAACGCACAAATAATGTACAAAACTTTTTGATCGAAGACCGTTCTTCGATTAATTTAAATTTGGATTAGTCAACACATGACGGCTCTATGCGTTTACTATTTTCACCACGAGGTAGCGTTAAATAGAATCTTACCGAAAAAAATAAATAAATTGTGTACTAAATAGATAAACTGTAGAGTCTCTAGAAGCCTAAAATTTTCTTGCTATTTTACCGCACTACGTGCGCAAAACTGAAGAAATGTGTAAAAATGTCAGTTTACAGTTTCAAGGCCAAAATAGTTATTTATTCTACGAGTTTGAGTGTAAATCGGACGCATTATTTCACCGAGTGGATTTTAAAACCACGAGTGTAACGAGTGGTTTATCATCCACGAGGTGGAATGAAGCATCCGATTTACACTCAAACGAGTTGAATACAACTTTTTATTCTTCGAATTAGACTCAATAAGGCTTAAACTTGCTTTAAATCTGTTAAAAATAATCTGACGTTTCGTATTGAGAAATGCCAGAGTTGTCAAAACTTCCTTACACAGGAGAAAAACCGTAAATTTTGACAGTGTCAAGAATAAAATAATTTTACATTTTTTTTTTGCTTCAGGCTATTGGAAAAGAAAACAAAGAAGCTGTATTCTGAATTGTAACCATGTTCAACGTTATTTGTGTCTTTTACTGGCAAAGTTTTTGTACTTTTTCCGAAGAATTGTGAAAAAACAACTAAACGTACCTATACAAAATCATCGGTAATAATAAAAATAGACATAAAAAGGTAAAATGTCAAAAAATTTTGACAGACAGAATTTTTAAACATATTTCCATGTCCTACGTGTCCGTTTTTACCGACGAAAATTCAGGAACACTTGAAAATAATGTGGGTTTCTCCTATAAAAAATTATAAAAAACTTACTTCTTTACCAAAGACAAATGGGGCCATTTATTTTTAAATTTGTTTCCTTCTTTTCTTAATATCTCCTTAACGGAGGGAGCTGGGACCTCCAAATTTTGAAAACACACTAAAGGAGTTATGACTATTAGGAGTATTTTGTACCGATTAAGGCGCATACCGATTGCATCTGTTACTGTGGTATTGCTTACTTATGTCATGTTTTAATTAATTTCAAATATTGGAGTGTAAGCATTTGATGTACGTTACACACGTACAATCGGTGAAAATAAAAAACTGTGACAAACATGAAACAGAAGTTTACATCGGGTAATTTTGGCATTTTCCAAATAAGGTTATAAAAGTTATGCCACTGTTCGGCGCTCTGGATTTATTTTCTCGTAATTGCCTCCCACCATGCATAGCATGAGTCGGCCAGTGCCGTACGTAGTGAAAACTCGGATCTCGAGTTTCACAAAAAAATATTGGAATAACTTTTATCAAATTGTAGTAACAGTGAAATGGCCCTTTACAGCTTTATCTAATTATACGACACTCAAAAATTAAACGGTTACATATCGGAAATTCGGCTCGCAGACAAACGCGCGACGGCATTGCGATAGCGCTATGTAGTGGGGGTAGATAAAATCCCGGTGCCGAACAGTAGTTATGACAATTATTACATACATACCAAGTGAATAAAAAGTATGGAGCCAAACGTTTTTGGCTTAAACTATTTATTTTTTGAAAAAACTAATAGATGAATGATAAAGTACTATAAAAATGTGATGATCCTGATGATTTAACAAGAATAAAATTTTTCGAAATTTTCTTTTGTTTTTGAATTCTACAAAAAAAATATTTTTTTAAATGGCAACCAACAATAAAATCATTTTTCTCATAAAAGCTATACTCTAAGGATTACAACTATCTGCTTTATATTTAATTTTTTCATAAAAAATTTTTCACAAATTGTAATTTTGACAAAAAAAATCGCGTAACTCAAAAACAAAACAAAATTTCGTTCTGAAAATACGATCACATTTTTTATATTACTCTAATTTATATTAATTATTATTTTGTGGAGGCAAATGATCAAAAATAAAACCGCTTGGTTCCATACTTTATATTCACCCTGTATATTGTCACAAACATCAAGTTAGAGTTCAGTTTTTTAATGCTGTTTACAGAGGTTTCATAAACAACACGAGTAATTTAGCATCTCTTTACGTTCAAAGGGCTTCAACGGTCAATTAAATTTTATTTTGAGTGACAATTCAAATGTTTGATACACATTGAACAAATTTTGTCCCAGTTTTTTTACCACTAATAGTACATACATTAAAAATGTCCTTCTGTGTGGAAGACCAACGTGGTTAGGTCAGGTCAGGTCTAAAATGGGTTTGCATTACTAGACTAAATAATTTAGGAAACAAATTATAAATTCTAAAAAATCTAACTTCTTCGACTTTCCTAAAATTAGTTCAAAATATTTTTTATAGTTTAAGCTTAAAATATCAGGTGCATCAAATTATTTCGAAGCCCAAAATAGGTATTTATAATTACATAAAATTCCCGATATTAAACACACTTGAGTGGACTTTGATAAGGTAGAAATTTAACAAATCCGTAATTTTTCATCATTTAATCATTTGATCATTTAAGTACGATATCTCCTCGGGCTAGTTACATTTTTTTACGTAAACAAGTGTACTAGTAGTTCACACATTATATTGATTTTTGTAAGTTTATGTGGTGTGTACAGCCGACAACAGACGGACTTGACCCACGTCACGAAATCGTGAAAATAGGATTCTCAATCATTTTTAACCTCAAGCAAACGGATTTTATTTTGTCATTTTGGGAAACATTGCTTTTGACATTGGGTTACTTGAGGAGGAAATGAATTTTTTTTTAAGTAGTCAACTGAGTAAAAATATGCATAATAATTATTAATAAGAAATCAATGGTATTGTGAAAAATCTGATTTGTAACAATTAGTCTTATTTGAGCTTGTAATAGCTCAAATTGTTCTTTAGTTTTAGTTTAGTTTAAAAGTATTTCCTACGTGAAGTAGGTTTTACATTTGCAGAACTGTCCTATTTAATTAACCCATATAGCATTGTCGCGTCTTTTGCTGATCTGAATTCAGATTTTATGAGACATCTAAAGTAACAAAAACCAGTTTAACGCAAAACCAGAATGACAAAGCTTGACCGATTTGCTGCTTTCGTTTATGCGTGTGTTTGATCTTAATCCGTATTGATCCGCTTTTGACTTCCGCTCTCAGACCGCTGTCAGATCAATAAGCAAACGTCCAGTAAATGATTTAGATAATCTAATTGGCTGACCTAACATTTTTTGGGACAAGAGTATATGCAATTATAGCGCTAATTACAAAGAGTTTAAATAATGTAGAATACATATTTACTAATAAAGTCAACATAATTATAATGAGTGCGAAATCTGAAGTGGTAATTTGTAAAGTTACAGATAACTTTTCTATTTATTCTGTACTTTTACTATAATGTTTTTTGTTCATTAATGCAAAGTTACTTTCCTAATTTTTTTAATTAGTACACCCTGTACAAAATGCCAGTTTTCTTTAATATTTTTTTTTAAGCAAAACGGTTTCGTATAATACTTGGAATTACTTTTGAGAAATTTATTAGGCCTGATTATACAAAATTTGGTATTTCCTAAAGGGGTATTTTTTGTTAGATGCTAGATTGTTAGGGTAAACTTGCTTTAATGCAAACTATTAGTCTTATTAACAGTGACTCTCATGTAATTCCACCAGTCGCTTTTGTTCATTATGAAATTTAAAGGAGGTGTAGGTAAATAGTGGAATTAACACGCATGTCAGCGTTCACATATTTATATTTCGCAACAACCAGCAAAATTCTAAATAGTAATGTTGAAACGAGAAATTCTTCTCTTTATTACTGATATTACTACTTGCGTCAGTACGGTCTAACAAAGCACCATCAACGTGACGCCAACCTGACAAAATAATAAAACAAAACCTACTTCAGCACGTCTCTTTTTCAACAGAGATCAATTTTGTAGATTAAATCTTTTCATGTGCACGGGCCTATTCGATACAGAACAAATACTAAGAGAGACGCAGGTGTGCCACATGAAAGTCTCATGTTATTGGTTCATTACAGACATGAAACCCCTGTGTTAGCAAACCCAATCAAGCTAATTCATGTTGACGAGGACTTAGTAGTTTTGGATAAGCCGTGTTCCTTACCGGTGAGTACAGTGTGCTCCGGTCGTACTTCAACACCAAGAAATACTGGTCAGAATGCTTAAGTTTTTAAGTTTGACTTAGATCAGGTTAGAAGAAACTGATGGGATGCAAACACTGTATGAATAAGTGACGAATGAGCATGGTGTGTTCAAGCGTATGCGCAATGGCAAATTGAATTGCCTTGTTTGATTATTAAATGACAAAATAACTATTATTTTATTTTAAAACGTTCTTTAAATTATACATATTTTATATTTTTGCTTAAAACACATTTATTTGTTCATTTAGTAGGATGAAAGAAGGCTAAAAATGAATGTTGTATTACTAGTACTACACTTTTACTGAACCTTTTTTCTGATAGATTTTTAAGAGTTTGGTAATAAAATATTTAATATTCTGTTATGATAAGTTTCTATAAACTCTTTCTTTGCCTGACGAGGTATGAAATGTCAAATTAATAACTTTAAATTTTATGGTAAAAAAAGTAAACTTTTCATTGGGAAGTAAACAATTGCATATGCAATTTGAACGCAATATTCATAAATCATAAATAAACGGCTATAAACGCAAAATATTACGAATTGATAAGTGTCAAATTTTTATTAACAGTGACAGTTATGTATAGAGCGGCAAATGGCTTTGAAAATATAATGATCAAGAATTTCAAAATTTTAAAGGTGGTTCTATGTTAGAATCATCTATGATTCACGAGGAATAATGAGCCTGACGAAATTCTCGATGCAACCAACATTACATTTTCAAAGGTCAGGTAGATTTCCAAGATTTTTTGTAATAAATATGAAATTATAGCGAGCACACTTACAATTTGTCAGTTTTGACATTAAAATAATGAAAAACGATGTAATTGAAATACCAACATAATAATAGGTATATTAAAATACGAATTACGGAAATCACCCATTCAAGCCTTATCCAGTGGTATCCTTTGCTTTGATAACTTAACAGGAACATAATTTTCTCAAAACTAACTTGATCGTAATAGGGATCATGGATTCAAATTATATATTTTTTTAAATGTCGCAAAGCAACTTACGAAAGTGTAATGGTGGTTGTATCGAGAATTTGGTCAGGCTCATTATTCCTCGTGAATCACCTGTAGATACCAATCCAGGTTGGAAAACCATTGTTTAAAAAAAACGTGCTTGCTGTGTCTTTTCTATTTGCATACCAAGCTTATGGAGAAACAACATTACATAAGGCGATATTCATATTACCTTCATAAAGGCAAAAGTTGTTCTTACAATTTCAAGCAAACATAGTTAATGTAGAAACGTGTGAGGATGTATGTATGTGTATTTTACTTTGTAGTGTTCCTTTTTCCTGCTAACTTTCACAAAGATAACACAAAACCATTTGCATGGCCTTTGACTTTGTTTCCTAAGTTTTCCCGACAGTCTCTTTGTTGCTTCTTTACATATTCACTAAGCTGGCGCATTTTATTTTGCTTAATGTTAATTTTTGAGGTAGGTTTGGTTGTTTATTATTGGAAAGCAATAAAAAAAATTATTGCTTGAATTTAGATTTCATTTCGAATACTGTGATTTTTAGGTTCATCCTTGTGGTAGATATCGACACAACACCGTCGTTTTTATACTTGCCAAAGAATATAACCTGAAGAATTTAAGGACAATACATAGACTGGATCGATTAACAAGTGGTCTGCTACTTTTTGGCCGATCTCCAAAAAAAGCTAGACAAATGGAACACCAAATCAGGAACAGACTAGTGCAGAAAGAATACGTCTGTAGGGTAGAAGGCGAATTTCCAGAGTAAGTTAATTGCTTCTGCAAGCATATAATTAATCATAATCTGAAAAATCTATTGTAGTGAAATTATAGAATGTAAGGAACCTATTGAAGTGGTTAGTTACAAAATAGGCGTTTGTAAAGTCTCTCCTAAAGGAAAAGACTGCAACACCATTTTTCAAAAATTAGGTTTTAATGGAAAAACTAGCATTGTTCTGTGTAAACCCAAAACCGGACGAATGCATCAAATCAGGGTACACTTACAGTATTTAGGTGAGTTTATCAAATTAACAAACGACACGTCATTTTTGTAAATTTCTTGACGTAATTATTTCGATACATCAATTTTTAAAATTGCACCTTTGAGATAACGTTTAAAAATGAAACTTGCAGAAATTGTCTGTCTTTTCATATTCACCTGATAATGTTGCTTAAAGTTACCAGAAGTTTGCATAATTTCTGTTATACTTTATTGGGATTGGATTTCTTGGATACTCTTATTATAATCTTAACGTGTTTGTGTATAAGTAGGTATATTTACAGGCTGTCTCAAAAATTTCCAAGCTATATTTAAACTTTTAGATGAGAATTAGCTTGCGTGGAATCTTAATTTTTATAAAAAAAAGGTGCGTATATACCGCGTGTCTGTTCTCAAACCGGAATATAAGGATTTAACATGGTAATGTTTACTTTTTATTGCTTGGTTCAAAATGGGAGGTGATTTGAAAATTCATTATAATTTGATTTTTATTACTTTTTGTTATGCTTAATAAAAACCAATTAAATATTTGATTACTTAGATATCTGTTTATTTTAATATAAAAGAAATGAACAAAATACATAAAAATCGCATTCAATATTATTTCCCTATATTCGAGTTTGAGACCGGACACCCGGTATAAAAAAAATAAGAAAATTCGGCAACACCGTTTGTAGGTAGAAAATAATTTACATACACAACCATTTCTTAAATAAAAAGCAAAAGACTAGCATTGAATTATTTTTATTCACAATCATAAAGTAATAATCAAATTACTATGCATGTGAAATGTTGGAAAGTATAAGAGAAAATCAGCCACCAATAGGTGGTACTAAACCATCAATGTTTTTCCCATTTGAATAGTTTACAGCATGTTGTTTTTGCTGTGTAGCTTAGACGCGGCGACGTTTTGGCGGGATTTTGACGGAATTTTGTGACAACTTAAAAGTTTTATTTAATCAGTCACCTAAGGTTTTTAAAAGTAATTTTGTATTTTAAATAATAATACCAAAAGTTTAGATTTCCATTTTTGAAAGTAATGCATCGAAATAGATGCTCCCACTAGTTTTTGCAATGATGTACGGAGCAAAATCGCTTTCTATATTTACATTGACTTGTCAAATTGACAAAAATGGAAAACTGATATTGTTAAAATATGTTTTCCCCATTTGGATAGTTTCTACCCTGCCACCAGATATCAACTACTTTCCTATAACACTTCAACTTCTGTACACAACCACAATTTAACTCGACACACCATACCTTTATTACAACGCGTTTCAACCACAAAGTGGTCATCCTCACTTGTAAATTTAACTGTGGTACAAGTCTGTGAGAAAGACTGTGGAATTTTATTCAATTTTGCATCGACCAAACTCTATAATTATTGCATCAAGAACTACAGGGTGTTTTTGTGAATTCACACCTCAGAGAAAAATTCCAAGTAAAATAAAATACCTGGGATATGGGAAAAAATTAATTCTATCTCTCAAAAAATTTTACATGTATTTTTTGACATTTTATATTTTTTTATGTCTATTTAATGTTAGTGATAATCTTGTGTATGTTTTTTCATAATTAATTAGTAAACAAACAAAAATTTTGTCAATAAAAGCCACAAATAACGTTCAACGTGGTTACAATTTAGGATACAGCTTCCTTGCTTCCTATTCTAATAGCCTGCAGCAAAAAAACATGGAAAATTATTTTTCCAACAGAAATAAATAGAGTCAAAGTGCAAAACTTAAACTTTCATAATGTTTAAATTTTTCTAGATAGAATTTTTTTAACATTTTTCCATATTACTGATATCTTGTCTAACATGGCATTTTTCGTTGGGGTACGAGTTGTGCAACACCCTGTATACTTTTAGTATGTGTCAATGTGAAAAGCAGAACTGTCTTTAAAAAAAAATGAAGCTCCTTTCCCCACCCTTACTTTGTTCACTGCGCACCCGGGACTCAGGGCCTTTATTCTTATTCTAGACAATCTGTACATTATTTGATTTAAGCTCAGTTTCTGGAAATACAGCTACATTAAAAAAAAAACGGGAAATGAAATTTTTCCAAATGTAAATTCGTTTCTAGTTGTCAATTGTCAACTTGACAATACCTATCAAAAATATTTCCATCAATGTCGTTAAATTTATACCAACTTGTGAATCGTCACTCACCTGGAAAATGGTAGGAAAATTTTGAATTTAGTGGCAGAATTTAGAATGCCATCAAAATATTTTAACCTATTTTTAATAAAACACGTTCACTCCATGGAAAAATTGAAAAAAAAACTCTTTTTTTTTGACATTTCCCGTATTGTTTTTAATGTAGCTGTATATTTAACGGAGAGATAAATTTTAACTTCAATTAAACATCAATCATTATCTTAACAACTATCGAACAGTTAAATTTTAACTCAGGTAAAATTGTACCGGAAATCGGGTGTTAGTAATTTTTTATATCACATTTATCAGTATAATAATGTTCAGTTTGATTATAGAGGGTGCGCCAGAACTCGCGCCCCAGAGAAAAATGCCATATAAGGTAAGATACCAGGGACATGGAAAAAATGGTAAAAAAATTTTATTTATAAAAATTTCGAAGTTATGAGGGTTTAAAGTTTGCACTTTGACTCTATTTATTTCTGTTGGAAAAATAATTTTCCAAGTTTTTTTGCTATAGGCGACTAAAAGAGGAAAAAAAGGAAGCTGTATCCTAAATTGTAACTGTGTTCAATGTTATTTATGGCTTTTATTGGCAATATTTTCGTCCCTTTACTAAATAATTGTAAAAAAAACATATACAAGATCATCAGTACCTGGAGGTAGTATTTACAGGAGGGAGCACTATTTGAAAAAAGTGGAAATGCCGTGCAAATGCGTACTGCTATAAAGTGATACTAAACACAAAGCGCAACATGCGTTTTTCCAGTGGCGTAGCAATATTATTTTTAATTTTTCTTTCCTAGAAACAGTTCCTTAAAAATCATTGTTTCACTGCGTATTATGTACATACCTACCTTTAGGTCAAAACTTTTAGTTTTTAAAGTAATCAATCCTATAGAAACTATTACATATTAATTCATTCTATTTCTGTGAAACATTAATAATTATGTTGTGAGATCGAGACTAAAATTCAAATTTACCTGTGCAATATTATTTTATTTTCTATTGTGGAATATGCACCCCTTTGGCACGTTTGCATGTTTTGCAACTTGGCATTTTTCATCCACTTTGCAATTCATCCGAATTCCAATAATTAAACAATAAAAAACAAACAATAACAACAAAAACAATGAAACAACACTCAAACACAGAAAAATCATGCCGTAATAACTCACAAGTAAAGTCAAAATAAAATAGCTGAAATACCCAAATTTCATAAATAACTCCCCGATGGGCACGCCACTGGAAAGATCCCAACAGAGGGCCAACAGTGTTGCGCGTAGTTTGAAAAGAGTCATAAAGTGGTACTAGAGAGAGACCGACTGATACCGTATTTAAAGCATTGACGATATAGGGAACGCTCCGTCCTGACTATACTAGGTCCATGCATCAGTATCATTAAATAGATATAAAAACATGTCAAATGTCAAAAAATAAATGTCAAAATTTTTTGACATATAGAAGTTTTTAAACATTTTTTTCATGTTCCTAGTATCTTATCTTACTTGAAATTTTTCTCTGGTGTATTTTATTATGCAGCTTTCATATTCTAAAATTGGAAAAAATACATAAGCAAAACAAATTTTTAAGTACAATAATAACTACATTAATTAATAACTACTAATATCCTAAACGGCGCTATACTGTGACAATGACGATAATTATCAATAGTAATACCCCGAGGGGAAGCCAAATTGTCGATAATTTTAAATTAGAATCAATTTGGCATGCACGAGGGGTATTTTGCAGACTATTTCGCGAACATAATTTACAAAAACAATGTTTTCATTATGAGAAATAAAAAAAATAATTTATCACAATCAAATTATTTAAATTTCTGAAACTCATCCAGTCAGATTCGCGGTAATTTAGCACATGGGCAAATTATCGATAATTTGCACACGTGGAATTATCTCGTAATTTGAATCTGATTGGATAAATTTGAGAAATGAGCAGACTTGATTGGCTTAAATTTTGTGAGGGATATTTCATATTCGTATACATTTGTCGAAGATTGTACTCTTAATCTTAATTTATAGTTATATCTATTTAAAAATATTTTCATTCTTTCGAAAGGGCTGTATTTACCTGTGTAATTTTAGCAAGTGATGTCAATGTTGTAAGTAAGTTTATGATCTTTTTGGTAAAATCATTTTAGTTTACATCACGCATAAAATGTATTTATTAGTTACTAGCTGTTGCCCGCGGCTTCGCTCGCGTGGTAGTTTGACATCCACAATTATTTCAAAACGCAGAAGGGCTAAGAAACTTACTAACAAAATATAGCAACACATAATTTATTATGCACTTCGTAGTAAAAATAAAAAGTCCGTCTTTTATAACTTATTTAAAAACTGTAAAATTTTAAGTCTTATTTCATGGATATTACTTAACAATGACAAATTTTGATACACATTTTCATTCCATGTTTAACTATAATACATATTTATACAAACTTTCATCCCTTATTTGACCCCCTTAGGGATAGAATTCTCCAAAATCTTGAAACACGTGCTATTCTGTTTTTAACTGAACACCCAAATACCAATTTTCATAGATTTAACTTAAAAAAACGGATATTTTACGAAGTTTTACCCTTGTTCAACCCCCTTGAGGGTAAAATTCCCAAAAATCCTGAAACACGTATTACTTGATTTTTAATCGAAAGCCTAAATACAAATTTTCAAGGATTTAACTTTATAAATGACATATTTTAATACAAATTGTCATCCCTGTTTAACCCCCTAGAGGGTGGAATTTTCAAAAATCCTAAAACACGTGTTTCTTCATTTTTAACCGAAAGCCCAAATCCCAATTTTCATAAATATAACTTCAAAAATGACGAATTTATAAATATTTATACAAATTTTCATCCCTTGTTTTGACCCCTTAGGGATAGAATTCTCCAAAATCTTGAAACAGGTGGTATTTTGTTTTTAACTGAACACCCAAATACAAAATTTTACGAAGTTTTACCCTTGTTCAACCCCTTTGAGGGTGAAATTTCCAAACATCCTGAAACACGTATTACTTGATTTTTAATCGAAAGCCTAAATACAAATTTTCAAGGATTTAAATTTATAAATTACATATTTTAATACAAATTGTCATCCCTGTTTAACCCCCTAGAGGGTGGAATTTTCAAAAATCCTAAAACACGTGTTTCTTCATTTTTAACCAAAAGCCCAAATCCCAATTTTCATAAATATAACTTCAAAAATGACAAATTTATAAATATTTATACAAATTTTCATCCCTTGTTTGACCCCTTTGGGAATGAAATTTTCCAAAATCCTAAAACACGTGTTTTTTTGTTTTTAACTGAGAGCCCAAATACCAATTTTCATTAATTTAACTTTAAAAAAAATACAAATATTTTAAGACCTTTTACCCTTGTTCAACCCCCTTGGGGGTGAAATTTCCAAAAATGGTAAAATACGTATTTTTTTATTTTTAACCGAAAGCCTAAATACCAATTTTCATGGCTATAGCTTTAAAACTTCGAAGTCACCACCCCATTTAGCCCCCTTAGGGGTTGATTTTCCAAAAATCCTTTCTTATTGGATGCCTACGTTATAAAAGGTATCTACTGTGAAAATTTGAAATGTTTGTCTCCAGCGGTTTAGGCTGTGGGTTGATAGATCAGTCAGGACAAGCCTCTTTATATACCGGGTGTCCCAGGCAGGCTTGGATATAGGAGATTAACATGGGAAATTAGTTTTTACTTTTTTCCTGCAGGAGTAACAGAAATTAAAATTTGGTTAATGGAGCTTGTAGTGCTTGAAAAGGACTATCTTATCGACATTTTTGTCAATTCTTCAATTAACTCCATTTTGGCGAAAACGGCTCTTGAAAAATTGAAATTTGAATTTGCCGGGTTAGCGTTACTAAGAAACGAACTATCAAGTCAAATTGTGACAAATCCTCCTTTGGCAACAATGACTTGATAGTTCGTTTCTTGGTAACGCTAACCCGGCAAATTCAAATTTCGATTTTTCGACGGCCGTTTTCGCCCATATGGAGTTAATTGGAGAATCGACAAAAATATCCATAAGATAGCCCTCTTCTAGCACTACAAACTCCATCAGTCAGATTTTGATTACTCCTGCAGCCGGAAAAAAATAAAAACTAATTTTCCATGTTAATTTCCTATATCCAAGCCTGCCTGGGACATCCGGTATATAGATTTTGTTCAATCCTGCTATCGAAACTTGTCGTTTCTCACTGGGATACAAAACGAGAAAGTACTTGATTTGCTCACTCAAATTGTTTGCTATGACAACGTGAGGTAAAAACCATTTACCCCACTCAGGAAAGAATTTTTCGTTTAGAATTGCTCAACATGTTTATTTATTTATGGTTTTACCTCACACTTTTACCTCATGTAATGACAACGAAAGTGCCCGCTATGTTTTATGATATAAATTGCACAAATTATAAAATTTCAATTGTGTTCCAAAATTCACTGGCAGGATTGAAGAAAACGCTATACAGCACTCGTGAGAAACTAATTCACCCACTCGTACTGTAATATACTATTTTCACAGGCTATCCCGTCGTAAACGATCCCTTATACAACCACGAAGTCTTCGGTCCAGTGAAAGGCAAAGGAGGAGACTTGGGTGGAAAAACCGACGAAGAATTAGTTCGTGACCTTATCCACATTCATAATGCAGAGAATTGGTTAGGAATGGACGGAGATAGCGAATTATCTATGTTCAATCCCAGAAAGGGAGATCTAGACGATTCCTTGGTGGGACCTCTTGTGCCTAAAGGTATACTTAGAAAGCTCGATCTGTTTCAATATTAATAAAACATGTCTTGTAGATCGAGTTTTAGGAGACGACGACGCAGACCCAGTGTCAAGAGAACCATCACCGTGTGATGAATCCTGTGACAACAACACTTCTATTTCTTGCGAATCTTTACCGCATCCCTTAGCTGTATCGTCACTCACCACGAGCCGAAACGTCGACGCAAAAGTAACTGTTGCAACTCAAACGGGCCACGAAGCACCAGATTTTAGTTTTAATCCTGACAAAATGACAGTCGACAAGTACTGTTATGAATGTAAGGTCCGATATCGAGATCCAAAACCGCAAGATTTAGTTATGTATTTACACGCTTGGAAATACAGGGTGAGTGAACAATCGCATTATGACAAAGATAAGTTTTTGTGACAAGGTCTGATATATTTTAGGGCCCCGGTTGGGAATTTGAAACGGAACTTCCGGACTGGGCAAGAGTAGATTGGGTAGATTCAGACATATCCGAGTGATGACTACTACAAAACTTATTTCTCTAATATAAGGCATCTCTTATCCACTCTGCCTTTCCATGCTCTTAGATTATTGTTGTAGGGTCAAGCAGCCCAAGCAAAAGGCAGGGTCCAAAAAAACAATCATTTCTTTAGATTGCGTTAAGTATAATTATAGGTTAAATAAATCAATTAATTAACTGAATTAAAGGGTAAAGTTGATTAAGTTTTAGAGAGTTTTAGGCATGTTTCGTTGCTTTAAAATTCAACCACAAACTCTGTGGGTATTTCAGTGCTATCTTGAGCGGTTTTTGAAGGTCGGCGTCTAGTTCTCAAGTGTATAATGAAAATTGCAATCAAATATTTTTATATAAGAATATCGTATCTAAAAGAGTCACTTTGAAACTCTAATTATTGTAGTCATTACAATAAGTGCCATGATTTGTATAAATATCTGCGGATTGTTGCACCAGCAGATTTTCATTTTTTCTCATCAATAAAAGTACTGGAATACATATTGTGCCTTGAAAGCGTGTTGTGAAATCATTTGCAGATTTTCTATCGAAAATATCCCGACTCTCATATCAGCTTTCGGACCCTTGCTTAGTCAATTTTTAACTTACTTATTGTTATTAGCATTATTACTTTTCAAAGCACTGACAGGGATTGTTCTGTGACGTTTTTAGAGAGATAGGCTTTAGTACGTCCCAAAAATTCCCCTTGTTGTGTTGTACTAATATACAGGGCGCCCAAAAAGTAACGCACTAAATTAATAAATGGTGATAGAAAAACGCTTACACAGGATAAAAAAATAATTAAAAAACTATATCTATTAAAATTATTCGCAAAAAACGTATTCCCAAAAATAGATGTGACAACGTTGTCTAAATGGCATTGCATTGTATTTCATCAACAATAAAAATTAGTTACTCTTGAAACCTCAATAACAGTTTCCTATTTAATAAACATGGTTACAATGACGACAAATAAAATTACTGTTTTGTCACATCTGCAAATGCTTATTTTTGGTTGAATAAATAATTATTTTACAAAAACTTAAATATTGTAAGATATTGAAAGAAAAATATAAACACTTAGAAAATAATGTAAATTGAAGATTAACAAATAAGTTTTTTGCTTCAGATTTTGTAAGATATGACCTCAAGAATTAATTCAACATTTTTCTTGTAATCTGTATATACTTTTCAACACCCTGCCACTGAGTTGGTGCGCCACTTTTTAAGCGTCCTGTGTATTCAATTATTTACTTTAAATTTCTTTAAAATGCTTCAAATTTTATTTCGTCGCTTTAGAATTAGTTGTCCTAACTGCTCTCCAACTTAAAAGATTTGCAACATTGTATTCACGTTAATAGTTTTATAAGAAGATCTTGATAACCGAGAGACAGTCGAGGATGCTTTACTTTCCACTAAAATTCCCTCTAAAGCACATTATTACAAAAAAATATCTTTAAAATTACAAAAGGCATGCATCTATAAATACATATTTTTTACACTACTTCATTTTTCTAAAGCGGCGATTTACTTAATTCGGGAAAACTTTTAACTTTTTTCTGGTGTTCATTAATTAACTTACCTATTAAACAATTTCATTCCTTTTTACATGGGATGTTATTTATTGAATTCCAAGTTAAAATTAACAATAATAAAGTCGGTGCTTTATTTTTATGAGATAATTTTAAATAAAGACACTTTACAAACATTCACTGTATACATCACATTACATCTATAGAAAAAAGTTTGTTTGTAAACGGTCAGTTTTTCTAAAAATATATCAAACATCTACTTTACTTTCTCTACATTAATTATATAAAGATTTGAATTTGAAAAAATAGTGTAGAGTATTTTTGTATGACATATAAACAAGAAAAACGGTTTATTATGTTTTTAGCAAAAACTACCGGTAACATAATTAATCTTTGTGATGTTACGACAATTATAGGGACCTATTCTACAATAGCATAAGTTTTTATTATCGTCACTATAGCGTGTATGACATTACAGAAAAGAAAACAGATCATGTTGCTATTGCATATACCTGACCATAAGTTTTATTATGCTTTTAAAATATGCAAGAACTTAAAATTTGCTTTTGTCGTATAAAACTTTTATGTTACTCTCTTTGTAGGTTCAAATAATTAATGCACTAACCGAAAAGCGAACGTTTACATGATTTTTAGAAATGATAAGTTGGTTTAAATGGTATAAGTTACAAAAAATTAACTAAAATTCGACGCATACCTCTTAGCCAAGAATTCATTAATACATTTTTAAAAATATACAATCCCAAAATGAGCTTAATAACATTATTCAATATTTATAGCTTTTATAATTTTTTAAAAAGTACAATAAAATTAAATCCTTCAAGATTTATGTGCAAGCTTTGCGCTTCCAATTGTATAAGTAAATAGCCTATAGTTTGAACATAAGATCAAAATATTCAAAATAAATATTTTGGTATCGACGTATAATTATGTTTTATGGTTTGTTTTCTTTCGCTGATTTCTTGCATAAGTACATACCTACATAAAAGACAGTATTGTGTTACATGTATATTGTTATATTTTTTCCTTTATTGTTAGTTACCATTCACAGCATTTTCCATCTGTTCTATTATATAATTATATTTTTATCATATTTTATTGTGAATGGAATATTATCATTTACAATAAAGACGTTGTAGCGTTGCTACAGTGTTGTTATAAATTTTTTTCATGGCTTGCTGTAATCTGTGATGATTATTATTTATACAGCTGACAGGTTATTTTGAAATGTAGAAACTATGTAAACATTGTAGACAGTGTGTAATAAAACAATTTTAAAATTAACTTTTATTATTTATTTACAGAAAATGGTACAACTATTTTTGTAGAAGTAACTTTTTAATTACGTCTAAATGACACGCTTTTATATCGTAGGTCAACTACATCAGTGAAAAATTCAAAGTGAGGTTACTCTTGAAGAGTTATTTCACATTTAATCACTTTGTTGTTGTCCGCAATGGTACAAATTTTCATTAATGAAGACTCGGATTTAAAATTTTGTTTCCCCGAGTCGACTTCGACCACACATTCACACATTTATTTGATCATATGACTCATACACATACTGACATACTAGGCAGGTTCTGCACAATACTGTTCATTTTTCATTTTTTTTATAAAAAGTTGAACACATTCTTGAACTAGTTGGTGACTAGACTGGTCTCTACCGTCACAGATACTATAAGACCATGAAATACCTACTATTACATGCCTGTACTTACCTAAAATTCTTCATTAATAGAAAATCATTCATTAATGGGGCCAATTAATGCATGATTTCGTATACAATAATAAAGACGACGGTGAACAGAAAATATTAAATCTTATTTAATGACAATGAATTAACAATTATTGTTTTTAGTCCAAGTCTAAAGATAAGTATAGCGATTTTACAGCTTTCACGTACCAATCACTTTTATGAAGGTCTTACAAGGCAATGCCGTAAAAATGTTGTTCTACAGACGGAGTGTTCGGGGTTTTCTAATATAGACCGTACTTCAACTTTTGTATTTATACAGGCTGAGTTACTTATAATAAGGACCCTGAACAATTTTAGACGCAACCCAAAAACATTCTCACTTTTCTTTTTGTACATTTGAAAAATTTACTTTATTAAATTTAAATGAAAGTAATTGTTGATATGTCATTACTATTAGCTAAATGTGACAGTGTCAAAAATTCTACTTTTTTCCCTTGAATTCAAAATGTACTCAAACGACGCAAAAGCTGACATGATCTTAACAAATGGAGAATGCCTCAAAATGCTGTGGCTGAATCTGTACCGTCAAAGGTACAACACCGTGGGATTCCAATTTCTAAAAATTCTCAAAGCTATCATAGGTATCTATGTTTATATCTTTGGAAAATTTCACACAGAACATCAATTAACTCATAGTGGTATCTGAGAATGTATTCTGGGTTGCGTCTGAAAATCGGTTAGGGTCTTTATTATACAGGATGCGTCAGAACTAGCGCCCCATAGAAAAATTTCAAGTAACATACGAGTAAGATACCAGAAACATGGAAAAAATGTTTAAAAAATTCTGTCAGAAAATTTTGACAATTAGTTTTTGACATGTCTATTTAATGAGGCTGATGATCTTGTATATGCTTTTTTTATAAATATTTAATAAAGATGCAAAAATTTTGCCAATAAAAGTCACAAATAACATTATAAAAAGAGTTACAATTTAGGATACAGCTTCCTTGTTTCCTCTTCTAATAGCCTGTAGCAAAAAACTTGGAAAATTATTTTTCCAACAGAAATAAATAGAGTCAAAGTGCATAATTTAAATTTTCATAACTTCGAAATTTTTATAGGTAGAATTTTTTAAACATTTTTTCTACGTTCCTGGGGCGCTAGTTCTGGCACAGTCTGTATATGACTCAGCCTGTATCTATTTATTAGGGTGTTAAACCATTTCTAACATAAACGACCCAAAAAGGTAAATATCCTTAAAGACCATAATATCGGTATATCTTTGACGAATTCTAATTAGAAACATTCATTGAAGGTGGTGAAGCTGAAAATTATAAATTTTATTAAAACATAATACATAATTTTATTTTGACAAAAATGCTTGAACACGTATTTTTTTTTTAAATACACTATTTTCAACTTGATTTAAGATTGTAACGTTATTAGCATGGTAAAAGTATTTTTAATGGCTGTAGGAGAACCATCCACGAATCTCTTGACAACAACGCACTCTTCTTGTACATTACGATCGAAAAACTTTTGGACTAATATTTCGCATTTTGTTTCTAATTCTAAAAATTACGTTTCTCACTTTTGAATGAGTTTTATTTGAAAATATTTTGGTAAAAAACAGTAGGGCCGTTTATTTTTAAAAAATGTCGATGAAGTCATTTCATTCAAAGTTGGTTTTAAAAAACTCATATTGTATTTAAAAAACAAGATATTTTACAAACAAATGGTAGATTTTAAAAATGTTCATGTGTAGAGAGTTTCAATGAAACATTTTTCTAAAATATGATCTTCTTGGGAGGCTTGTACGTGCTGTTTTGAATTACTATAGTACCTACTCCCCGGTGCTATGATAGCACTACAATAATAGCTGTGATTTCGCAGCATAGTGAGACCACCTCTAAATACAAAATGTCCATGAACTCTTTGTATCATCATAAATATTTGGAGCGTCTCAAAAGCTATATTTCAGCTTGTGCCCACGCATTTCTTGATAGACAGTATTATAGAATACGTAAAATGTTGTATTATACCACGATAACGAAATTATCTTGATTAATACGAGTATATGGTAATCATAGCGTCATGGATTTTAAAATATTTCAGAACTCGGTGATGTTAAGAAATATGGTGAACCAACTCTTCATTTATTTGAAATTGGAGTGAGATGACTGTTTATGAATTACGGGATACCTAGATGTTCGTAATTTGTTTATTCATCGTAAAAATTACATATGTAGTGTATACTCTTTTTCATATTAATGTGCATGAAGTAGGTTGTAGAAGTCTAAATGAATCTTTAATTTAAAGTCCGATTTACACAAAAAATGTCATTAATGTCATTCAAAACAAACTTAATCACATCAATAATGACAAAAATCTTTATGTTTGCTATCCTATGTTGATTACGTTGTTAATTTTAACTATTTTTTGCTACATGGGGTACACATTTATTTGAAAAAATAATTTTTAGGGAAGATTGAGTTTAGGATTGTTTGAATTTTCGCATGGTTGCCACCTTAAAATGATCTCTTTCGATGCACATTAATATGATAACGAGTATACAGGGTTATTATAAATATGAAGCAATATTTGAACCTCAAAAATGACCTATAAAATGATGTTAATTTAAATAATAACTCGTGTCCGATCTCTATTGATAAGAATTTTACAGCCCTCGGAATGTGGGTATGGAAATTTATTTTTTTGTAATAAGTTTGGAACCATTTGACCAAATATTATAAAATCTGGAATAGTTACTTGCGAGAACATACCCTTTAGGTTAGTAATTACGAAAATCGGATACATCTACTCAATTTCCGGTTTCAGCAGTTGCAGGTCACATTTTCTGTGTTTTTCCGTTTTTTTTGGCCTCTTAACACTAATTTATTATTGTTTAAATCTAAAGAGTAATCAATTTCGATTAAAAAACGCAAAACCTTTTATACCACTAAAATAGATCGTTTTAAAGATATTTTAATTTAAAGTGAGAACTGCACAACACTGAAAGCAAAAAGTATAAATTTTGAATGAGTGATATCCACGGCAAGAAATGACCATGGTCACATATTTTGCTGTCAGGCATCTGTCAACTTGAGATTGGACGATTATTAGACGATCAATCGAAAATATTCAATAAAAGAGTTTACTTCAGACTCCAAACGTAATCTACAATAAATCCAAATCGATCTCGTAGCATTTAATTTATAAAAAATTCACAAAAATTTATCGTCAAACTTAACAGATGCCTGGTAGGGATTTTTGTGACCATGGTTATTGGTTGCCGTGGATACCATTTATTCAAAATTCATATTTTTCATTTTCAGCATTGTGCAGTCCTCACTTAAATTAAAATATCTTTAAAACGGTGCATTTTAGAGGTATTAAAGGTTATGCGTTTTTTATTCAAAATTGATTACTCTATTGTTTTGACCAAAAAAAATTAATGTTAAGAGGCCAAAAAAAAACTAAAAAACCAGAAAATATGACCTGCAATTGCTGGAACCGGAAATTGAGTAGATGTATCCGGTTTTCCCAATTACTAGTTTAAAAGGTATGTTCTCGCAAGCAACCATTCCAACTTTATAATATTTCTACTCAAGTCAAAACAAAGTTTTGTAAAAATTGGTAACTTGGCGCGATTATTATTAAATTTAATTATTGTGGATGACGTGACCAAATTGAATCAAGCAGATGCTCAAATTCACGAAATAACTTTTAACAAAAAATTAATTTTTAATTAGCCTTCTACAGGCTGTTACGGCTAAACCCCACATTAGAAGTATTGGGAGTTCTAATATTCATTCAAAATTTTGCGTAATGGGTTAGGTCCTGCTCAAGTGCTCAATAAAAATACTTTTAAGATGGCGGCACTTCGGGCCACATCGGAAATGAGTATCAACTACCAACTTCGTTATTTTAAATAGAAAGATATGTTTAAATGTTTTCGAAATATTTAGACCATATTTGAAATTTTTTGGATTTTGAAATCGTATTTGGAATATGAAAGAGAAAAGTTAGATCTTTCCTTAGGTGTATTCATAATTGGGGAAAAAATTAACGAATCCTCAAAAATTAAAAGGTTACGTTTGGGAAACTTCAAACACCAATTTTTTCTTCACTAAATAAGGGAGAATTTAATTCTGTAATTCTGTATCGATCTGTATCAACATTCTCTACACCTAAGTTTAATAATTTACAAGGTATCTTGACTTTTTTACAAATTTTAGATAAATATCATTGTTAGAACTTCCAATACTTCTAATGTAGGATTTAGCCCGAACAGTCTATAGAAAATGTTAGAAAAATGTTAAAAAAAAATTAAAAATGAGTTACAGCGCTCAAAGCTCTATTTGTCATGCAAATAAGGAATTATGTATGTATGTATGTACATATACCTACTTAGATGCAGATTGAAGGCACTTTAGGGTATGTTATTTCAATATGTATAACCTGGATGCAATATCGGTTGCGGTTATTTTTTTATTATTTTCAACAAATTTCCAATTTTTTTATATCTTACTTCTATTCTGAATTTCATTTTTCAAAATTCATATAAATACTCGCACAGAAGCAT